TAGCTACGCACCCTGATTTGAAATTATCTAAGTTATTTTTAAAAGCTGATTGAAAGCCAGGCAAGGTTGAATCAGCCTTTCAGTGGGTCGATAAAATAAGTACCAAGCATGCTTGAGGACTAAACACTGGAGGTTCCGCGTTCATCTGACCACCCAACCTTAACATCTGCTCTTGTACCTCAAAGCCCAAGGTCAAGAAAACTGAGATGAGCCCTGGCCTTGTGTGGACTGTCACGCCATTGAGTTTGAGTAGTTTGAATTTCATTTTAGATAGTAAAATAAGTATTTTGCTTTAAGGAATTTTTTAATAAACGCAGCTGTTTTATTTACCTTTTTTTTTTTATTTTTCAGAGTCCATGGGTACTGGTGAAGGATTTGTGGGTTGTATCTCAAGAGTTCAGTTTGATGATCATTTTCCTTTAAGGAGACTTTTCCAAGAGAGTCGCAGAGCAAATGTTTGGTCAGTTCCTGTTGATATTAGAGAGGATGACTGTGGCATTGAACCTGTTACTCATCCACCTGAATATAGAGCCACTCGACCACCACCCACTTTGCCTCCGGGAGTTCGCATCGAAGCTCATAGATCTGGTGAAGATGATTCTGCTATACTTGGAGGTAATATCTTTGATAATTTAGTTTTATTATTTATTTATTTTATTGTTCTTTTACCTAACATTTGCTTACTGGCTTTCTCTTTTCTTACTTATTTTATTTGCAAATCCATGAAATTAGATTTTTAAAAAAAAATGTAACAATGAATTAAACTTCAAATAATTTAATTGCTCTTTTAAGAAGAATATTTTTCAGTAAATATTTGATACCCTGTTGAGATAAGTAATTGTGCAATAATGACAGCAGTTGACACTGTGACAAGTAACAATCAAAAATGAAAGATTCTTTAAACATGCAAATTAGCATCATCTATTAATGATACAATTAGTTTAAGCACTTTTTTTATGTAAAAATTAACTTCAAAATAAAATAATTATTATAGAAACATGGGTAACACATTGTATGCTGAGACATTTTTTTTAAAATTAAAAATGACTTGTGTTTTTCTCTA